GCTTGGGCAAGAACATCCAGATGAGACAAATGCCAGGGAAGACAAGGAGGAATGTAGTCTTGCCATATCAACCCCAGATTCCAAAGACTCAGGAAGATCCCCAAAAACTGTTAATGCAGAAATGGGGCCCGACAAAAATCCCTCAAGTAATGCATCTCTCCCCCATCAAGTTCCAACAACATAATAACCAGGTGTTGAGAGACAGTGCAGATGCCAATAAATGGGCCAGAGTAGACCACAGAAGGGTACCGAGTTCATCAGAAAATTGATCAGGTTATTGGTGAAAGACTTGAGACAACAACTGTAAAGAAGAAATAATATGCAAAAGGGTGATTAGGGCAAGACAATTCCTAGAAAACTGAAATTGACTAAAATGGATCAAAGCCCCCAGCCCTTCTAATCTCTACACAATAGTTTATTCATTTAGCATTCTCTTCAATTCCCATCTCACACAATGAGAGAAGGCAAATGTACTGTTTTTGTGACTGTCTGCTCCATATTCCTGAAGTGGAAAAGGATGGGTCTAACTGAGAGGGCCAGAGCAGTGAGAACTATGTCTGAGCTGGCCAATACAAAGCAACTAGCAAATCATAACAAGAAGTGGTCTGGACAATGGAAATGACCCTGTAGATTAGTCTAAGAGGAGGGTAAGCATACAGATGAAGGCAGCTCCAATCCTGAATGAATGCATCCACCCCCAGAGCTGTGGAGTGTGGAGCAGGAGATCAAAAGGTAGGTAGTTTGACATTCCAGTGAGTGGCAAATGCATCTATATGTGGTGTTCCTAGGCAAGAATACAATCATTGAAATACTTGAGGAGGAAGGGATCACTCTGCATGTAGAACTTGGTTGGGACGAGACAAGTGGTCAGCCACCAGATTCATAATTCTGGGAACATGACATGCTAAGATGGTTAAAAAGTAATTGTGGGCCCAATACAGGAGGTTGAGTTTCTGAAAACACAGAGACCAGGACTTGGTTCCCCCCTTGTTTGGTGATATAGCTGACGAAAGTGGAATTGTTGGAATGAACCATCATCTCCTGGTCTCAGTGGATTGGAAGGAAATGAGATAGCCCAATGAACAGCCAAAAGTTCAAGAAGGTTGATATGAATTGTAGTTTTCAGGATGGAACACTGCCCCAAAATCTCTCTGGATTCAAGGGAAGCTCTCCAACCTACCTAGGAAGTATCTGTGAACAAGTGAGCATTGAGACGAGGTGGAGGAATGGGAATCCACACTATGGTCCTATTGAGCCACCATGCAAGGTCCACCATGATCCCAGGAGGGAGGGCAAAAGAGATAGAATCTTACTGGAGCAGCAGCCCCTGCCCTTTCCTTTGTCCAGGTTGCTCCTCCAACAACTGTGATCAGATGTATTTCATCCAAATGTCACCAAACTCCATATTTATGCATGGCTTTTGTCTGGTCCCTCCCCTCAGCTCAGGGACTCATTCCTCTTGTAACATCTTTTCTTACCTATAACATTCATTCTTCATCATTTTCCATATTCTAGAGATGTTAGCCTACCTTCAGAGGGTGGTACTTTTGCCATGGCTTCCATCCTTCCTGTCCTTCTGCCTCAATTCTTTACCTGGTTGTCTGATCAGGGTTTGTCCATATCAAAGGTTGCTAGTTATCAGGCTGCTCTGTCAAACACATTCTGTTTCTTCCGATTTTGTAAAGCTTTTACCTCCCCAATTATTTCCCTCCTTTTCATTCTTTTTGTCTTGTTCGTTCTCCACATCCTTTTGTTCTTCTAGATTGAAATCACAGTGTTGTTCTTCATGTGCTGTCTAGT